ACTCCCATTTATTTGTCGGACTACTCAATTTTATTTTAGAGGGTGGCTATAGTGATCCCAATTTCCCATCACGTTTTTATGATTCATTAAAGTTCCTCAGAACAGGTTACGCCAAATAAAGTCGAAATTTGAGGAAAAATTGCGGGAGATGGATGAATTCAGGAGTTTGATGGCCGTCTGGGCACACTTTCAAGGTATAGGCTACCTATTGCAAAACATTCTAGGACTCTAGGACCATTCGCCTAAAATTAGTTCAACACGGGAGAAGTGGGTCCGGACAGACGGACGGATGGACAAAACGCAAACAAGAGCACATTTTTTCAATAAAAAATGCGCTAACAAACAGCTCAACCTAATATATGATGAAAATGGCACGCACGTGTACCATACTGAACTTTATTAATGGTACCGCACGTCAAGTTTCAAGGCCGTGCGATTTCTTGATTTGGCGACCAACATTGGCCAGCAAGGTCGTGCAATCTAACGCCGCTGGACTTTTTCCTTTGGGGCTATGTAAAGGAAAAGGTGCATGCGAATAGCTGGAAACGGTTGACCATCGAGAACATACGGCGCGTTATTGATGAAATACATACACATTTATTTCAAATTTCAACAAAAAGAAGAACCCTTTTCCAGAGACTTTAATTAAATTCACATAACAATTTGTTTTGTGGATATCCAATCTTATTGCAGCTTTTGAGGTAATTAAATAGCCTGTAATAAAATTTAATTAGATTTGAAGTAGTTCTAAATCGTCAAGACTATAAACATAACTACGAAATTGATGCTAATCAAATTTTAAATATTTATTAAACATTGACAATATCATGCTGTATTTGTCATGATTTCTGGAATGTTATTGAAACAACAATTTGCATCGTACTGTAATTGAAAGCATTAATAAAATATATGGTCAATAAATGATTTTCGTAAACCAAGGACAGATTCCACAATGTAACGTAGGTACCTACCTAGTTTGGTTAAGTACACAGGTGCATATAAGGTTGTGTAGTAGTTATTTACATAAAAGTCAGGAAAATGACACATTACGAGTTTTGTATTAAATTTTACCCGAAATCATATTTTAACAATTTTCACTTAGAATTGATTAATGTCAATCTGTCAGTGATGACATGAGTCATTACTTATAGACATTTCGTAGTGTCACAAATGCGGCCGGTCAAGTGACAGGTGCGGCCAGTAAAGTGACAAAGCGGCAGGCAACGTAGTTTGCTCTGCTTCTGTCATGGAAACTACAACTATTTTGAGTAAATACTCCTAAGTGCACTCCAATACCTTTCTAGGAAATCTGCATTTTCCAATACTCCATAGACAAGTTCAACAGCTTTCTAGGTTTTTAAAGAGTTTTACGTCTATTCAGAAACATCCTCTCCAGGACTACGAGAGTATAGAAAGCTCTGGAAGCTTCTAAAGGGAGCTAATAACCGATACAAAGAGACGGAGAATGTTTTAGGAGTGAATTAGAAACTGTAGATCTTAGAAACCCTTCAATTACGTTGTAAATTCTCTATGTGCTTTAGAGCAAACACTCTGAACGATATGTCAAATCTCGAATATTTTTGAGTGTGCTATTGTAACGAAGCACCCGGAATTTCTGAGGGGAGTACACATATAGAATTTTTCCAGACAACTTACAAAGCAATTAAATATTTTCCAATGCCTCCTAGACGCTGGCTCGCCATGGAAAGGAGATAACTCTGGCAAAGTGACACAAATTCTCTCAAGTATTACACAGCCCGCGAGGGGTCGAGAGAGCGCTATGTAAAGCCTTCAAAATTTCAGGAAAGTGAAATCTCTCGAATGTCTATTTCGCAACACTTCCCAAAGTAGGTACCCTCTAGAAACAGCAAGCAAAAGAGTTTAAAGGACAGAACTAAGATAGCTACGAAGTTTTTCCAGAACATTCCCATGTCTTTACTATACTAGCTAAGCCCTTTTCACAACTTTCCAGTTCAAGTCTTTTTTAGGGCTGCGTGGGACCAGAACAAACGGAAAAAGTCCTATACTTGTGTACATCTCTAGAAAATGTTCCCGAAATGTAATCTTCTGGACAAGAACGATTGTATCAGTTGCCGCCCGATTCCAGTAATTGTATAGATTTCAAGCTTCTCAAAGCAGTAGTTCGCCATTCGATACTATCGAACGACTTCGATATATCAAAATTAATGCCCATCGTACCTATATAATTTCTTGGCCGGAGATTCGGAAATGCCATTGATGATTTTAAAAAGTGCCGACACAGTCGATTTCCCCTTAATGAATCCATTTTGGGTTTTCGAAAATAAGTTGAACTTTTCAGAGTATTCACTTATCAGATATTCGTGTCGATATGCAGATCTCTAAGAATACTGAAGCGATGGATATGGGTCGGTAATTCCCTGTCTGATGCCGATCGCCCTTAATTCGTCGTTGTTTGTGAAATGGGTTAAAGGTTTGACAATAGTCGTTGCTATAGATTTTAATATTTGACCAGGGATACCGTCTGCACCAGAAGATTTCTTTTTAGATACTCATACTCACAGGGTTGACTTTAACAAAACTGCTGTGCATAAGCCGTTCTCCAATTGTTGCGTTAACTTCCCACAATAAGATACCTACACAATAATAAAGCAACCAGTGAAATTCCACCTTAGGTCGTTTAGGACATTATAGTAAATAAAGTGGGTGGACAGTATAGAGAATTTCTGTTCTAAATTGTTACCCCCATCCCTCCAGCACTATTTTGGTTCCCAGAATAATTAATATATCACCTCTTGGAAAATTCGCCACCAGAAAAATTTTCTATAAGGTGCAAATTAACTAGGTAGGTAGGTACCATAAATTCACTCACGAAAATTTGTTGTCAAAACAGAAATTTTTGGAATACCTAGAAAATGTGCTAATAAAAACTGAGATTCCCCTTTATTTTTGACAAAGGGCCCGGGTAAGTTAAGATCAAAACAGTTCTTACCAGAAGTGGCGTGCCATGAATGTTAGTTACTTTTTGGAAGTATAACATAATATGGTGAAAATCCTGAGACCGAATTTTCTTTGTTAGCGAACACAACACATTTTCCAAATCTTTCGGGAACGAGACTTGGGGGGGGGGGTCGAGTCTTCTGCGCTCAAATCTTTCATGGGCGAATATTCTGGGTGTGAACCTACTGAGGAGATACATTCTGCGCGCAAAAATTTCCGGAAGCGGATCTTCTGGTGGGTTAATTTACCGCACGCGGTCAATAATCGTCATCTGAAATAAATCCTAAGTTTGCCTTGTCAGAACAAAACACCGTTATACAGGGTGGGCCATAATTTGAATTGGTGTTTTTAATTTTTAACACCCACTAATTCCTGAGAGGCTTTGAAAATCGGAAAGCACTCTGAATTATCATTAATTGTTAAATTACAAAATAAGATATAAAAGGGCAATACCGACATGCATGCTTACACCGTTACAATGGTAATCAAATCCTACATTTGATGGAATTAAAAAACTTGGTAATTCCATTTAAAACAATCAAGTTACCTTTGATCGACATTTTGAAAATTGATAAAGTGATTCCTTTTAACACAAGAATAGTTTAATCTTTGACCGTTCGGCGTAATAAAAAATTAATTTTTTATTCAATGGCGTATGTTAGTACATTTCATGTTTAGTAACACCAAAGAATAGTTACCCTTTGGCAGGCCCTTTGGTAACACTGCGATCTTCAATTTTTACTGGACATATACTTTTTGAAAAAAATAATCAATTTCATGTGACATCATGACCTAAAATCCCACTAAAATTGAACTCTATTAAAACAAAAATGCAACTTCCTGTATAACGGTTACTCATAAGATGTGAAGCACTCGGTATTTGACATTGGCGCTTTTAACGATCAGTTTTCTCAAATAGCCAATCACACGTAAAACAACTGCCTATATATCATGCAAATTCTGCATATTTACTGTATGAAATGTATTGTATTACGTGCTTTTTGGTAGGTATATGCATGGTTCAGAGTTGTGTTTCTACATTAAATTTGCACCTCATCTAAAATCCATCTCTTCCGTCAAAACTTATAAAAATTGGAAATGGTTTATAACGCATCTGCAACATAAGAAGCGACTAAATACAATTGCTAAACGTATTCGAATCGCCAATTTTAGCTTTTACCATTGGATAATCAGTCAACGCTTTTACTCATTTAGTAACTCTCAAAACTATGTCATTGTGGGAAAATCTGATCAGCTTTTTCTTTATTCATACACTTCAATCATACATGCAAATTTATTGTCATGTTTGAAGAGAAATCAAAGGGAGAATGGACAAAGGAATAGATTCAGTCAAAGACAACATGAGAAGAGCAACTGGCTTTCAAAATGGAAAATTACAAACAAATTATTGCATTTAAAAGTAGTATTTTACACAAGGAAGTATTTCAGCCTTTGGCTAAGGTGTTATGTTACTAAATGTCTGCATTTCCAAATAATTGTAATTATTGAGACTGGGCCTACTGAAAGAACTGAGAAATTATTATTATTTGATTAAGAATAAATTACGAATTTTAATGTCATGCTTTCGATTTTCGAAGCTACCCTTACATCAAACTCTATACATTAATTGCGGAATGTGGCTCCGTAAATTGAGATAAAAATGTGGATTATTGACTCGCTTATTAATTAAAATTTCAATTGAAGCAGATTCTTTACCGCAACCGATGATTTTTTACCAGCGGGTTTGTTTTCCTGCTTTCGAAGCACGAACCACAAATCCAATACGTGGGATATTAATTATAATTGTTTATTAACAATCTCTCAACTAGTGTCACTCAATTTGCATTGTAATTAAAATTAGAAACTCTAACTCTCATTAAGATAATAAGATTCATTAACTGGAAAATGTCTGAATCAGACAAGATTTGGAATGCAATTTAGTGCAATATTTGGCGATGATATGTAAATGATGTGATTAAAGTAATTAATGAGACTATAACCTTTGATCAATTGCTACTTACCAATTGCTTTATAAACGCGCTCGTTTGAATAATCAACACCATTTCCTGCTCTCGCTTACCTGCAACAAGATGGATAGCTTTAGAGTCGCTTTAGTGTTGGCTGTAGTTTTACATGTAAGTATAGACAATTCTTAATAGTACGTATACATATTTAATTGGTTGATCCTGTAGGTGGTTTTGGCTGCCCCTAAATTGGCAGATAAACCGATACATGCAGAATCTGATGACATTTTACAGGAACTAAGTGCAATGGGTAAAGATTTGCATAGTTCAATTATGAAAGTTGTTCCAAGTTCTAAAGATGTCTCCAAACTTTTAATTGACGCGTCAAAGCAGTTTGCTGGAGCCGTTGAAGATATTACAAAGTCCATTAAAACATATGTAAGTATCTCTGTTTAGCTGCATTTAAAATATAAACTGAATTTCGTTTTAAGACGAAAAGGCATCAAGGAACTGTCGATGATGGTCTGAAGGAGATTTCAGCCAGACTATTGCAAGTTGTTTCCGTACTTAAGAAAATAAGCCACACCGTTCCCGAGAAAGCAACTGGTATTGTGGACACTATTTCGGCTGAAGCTCAAAATGTTCTTGCGGAAGCCTCCCAAGTTCAGGAAGCGGTAAAAGTTAACCTAAAGGGTAAGTTAAACAAAGCGTTTGTAACGTGAGTGTAAAATTTCGTTTTCAGATGTTCAGGAGAATGTAATGACCATCGCTGAGAAATTATACACCGAGCTAATCAACGCATACACACGGCTAGAGAAAGATGTAAATCACGCTTGGGCTCAGAAATCTTAAAAAACGCTGTGACAATGGAGCATTTCTTTAGAATATTATTGTGATATATACTTATTGTAAATAAATATACTTACTTCTAAATCATGTATTTTTTTGTATTTGAAAACCGTGGGTGAGACGAAACTCAACTGGAACAGTCCTTGGGTACATTTAAGCACTACAAATTAATTAAAATTTATAAAATGGTTTCAGTATTGAATGAAGAGTCATGCGGATGAAGAGGTTATGTGATAAGGTAACTTTGAGAACGAAAAGGTATCCCGCATCAAGGAAGGTTTTTGTCAATATAGAAGAAGAAAATTTTATGCTCTTTTCAAAATTCCACAATACTCGTATATCGTGTGGTCCGTATGAAAAAATGTAGTTTAATGTCATATAAAGAAAACCAAACACCCTTTATAAAAAATGTGTTGCGGTAGCGTGGCGGTAAGCAACCTGTAATCAGTTGACAGTTAGTAAGTGCCATTTGCGCTATTCCAGTGTGAGATTGCCAGTGCCGTATATTACCTGTACCGGAGAAAAATACGTCACCGACCCCCTTTAATTATCTGACAAATCCATCAAAGAGGAGGTTCCACTCCAAAACCACTGAGGACACCGTAGTAGCCGTCGCACATAAGTATAGCAATCATCGCAGGATTCCACACCCGCGAATCTCTATTGCAAAGACCATCCCACAAACTGCGGAAAGAAGTAATAAATCTTAGTTTTGCGGAAGTTGCGAATTTATGTTATGTGTGTATGTATATTGTGGAAATATATTCAAAACCTGTTTTCCTTAGTTTATTTGCACGAATTTCATTTTTAGCTACATTTTAAGTTCGAACGGGTATATGAATAGATTATAGATTTATACGTAAAATTTATGCATTTATTAAGTTGTGTAGGAACTCTCTCCTATTCTAACCATTATTTTAGTTAGAGAGTTAAAGTTATTGTCGAGGTGGGATTTATGCAATTATTGATTTCATTAAATACCAATTTTGGTTGATGCGACTTTTATTATTTACGCCGTAGTCGAAGCATTTAAAATTCAAAAATTCACTTGCTTTTTTCCCTATATACTGGTACGGTTGTAGGCGCCCAATTAAAACACAGAATTTAGTTATCAATTCCAAATTTTCAAAAAATAACAGCTAAATTTGGGCCCGCAGAGATTTATCTTTTTACAAGTAGAGTTAACAAAAAAATTCTCGAAATTTATCTCGTGGCGCGTACTTTCTTCTTGTATGCGTGTCCTCCGTTTTCTGTAATTTTATGTACGGACGAGGAATCGTAGTGCTTCCCCTGTGGACCTTATAACCAAGATATACCAAAATAAACCAAGAGGGAAAACGTGTGATATTCAATCCAGATGAAACGCCTTTATCTGTTAACAGGATTCCGCACCCGCTATGGAGGACTGTTATCCCGGCGACAAGAATCTTATCTTCCAGGTCCTGAGAAATGGTGGGGGTCCCTCAGGACGATTTTTTCTTGGATAAGAAAAATTACGTCATGGTGGAAGTACGCGGAAAGAAAGCTTGATGCATTCGCTTCTGGAGTACAATCAGTATTGGAATTTTTAACCGCACTGTTTAACATGTTTACATATATACAGGCTGTTCCGCGCAAACTAAAGGTATTTTGACTTCCATTAATAATTTTGTTAGCGCAACATTGTTAATGGGCTGTAAAAAATGTCTGTTGCCCAACATGTAGAAAATTTATAACAAATGAACAAATAAACGATGTCAATTATAATTGGGTGTGGCACCTACCTTAAGGTTTGACGATGTTGTAAATGGGGCCCCAGTCTTGTCACAATTGTAACTCTACGCGCACGATATGTCGTCTGTCTTGTATGTATCTTCTATTGTTCAAACATGGTAGGTTCGTTCTTGCGCACCACACGCACACGGATATACGTCACGTATTTTGGTACCATTACCCATAACCGAATCGTTTTGATATATCAAAATAAAATTCATTTTGATTTTTTGAATTATAGAGAGAAAAAAAAATAGTTATTCTTGCATGAACATTCCGCCCACCAACACGAAGAGTGTTTAACTAAATAATTTTGAAAATAACAAGAAATTACTACTTAAAGCAAATCACAAAAAAAAACAAAAAAAAAACTTTTAATCAATTAATTAATTGGTAAAGGGCAAAGTTTACCGATGGGTCTACGCAAAGTACCCTTTGCCGTTTTTACGGTAACCACCCTAACATGGCCATCTTCACCAGGGTGAAGAGCAATAACGCGTCCTAAAGACCATTGTAAAGGTGGTTTGCAATCATCTTTAATAAGAACTAAAGTATTGAGCTCAATCGGGTTACCCGAATCTAACCATTTTGAACGCTGCTGTAAAGTATTCAAATATTCCACATGCCACCGTTTCCAAAATTCAGCATGTAGCCGTTGTAGAAATTGCCAGCGGTTTAAGGTGTTTAATTTTAAATGAGATATGTCAGGGTCCGGTAATGAATTTAATGGATCTATCGTTAAAAAATGACCAGGGGTTAATGATGAAACATGATTAGGATCGGTGCTATGGGAGCAGATCGGTCGGGAATTAAGTAGCGATTCGATTTGGCACAGCAATGTAGAAAACTCTTCTAAACTGAGTCGCTGTTCTCCAACTACTCTAAGTAGATGGGTTTTAATCGATTTAACACCTGCTTCGGCGAGCCCATTAAAATGGGTCCCTGAAGGGGGACTAAAATGCCACTGAATTTCTAATTCCTGAGCGGCTAAACGTGCATTTTCGATAAATATATTATGCGCTCCAACAAAGTTGGTAGCATTATCGCTATAAACATGAGAGGCGCAACCGCGACGCGCTACGAATCTTCTAAAAGCCACTATAAAGGCTTCCGCCGATAAGTCCGAAACGACTTCTAAATGCACCGCCTTGGTGGCATTACACACAAAAACACAAACGTAAGCTTTGTTTGCCTTCAAACCGCGTCTCCGACACATTGTAATAAAAAAGGGACCGCAATAATCAAGGGAGACATGAGAAAATGCTTTAAGGGAGGAAATTCTATGAAACGGAAGTCACCCATAAAAGGGGTGTAAGCCTTAGGTTTAACTTTGAAACATTGCACACATTTTGCTAGAGTTTCCTGGATTGCCCTACGTGCGGATAAAATCCAATACTGTTGTAGTAATAAATAATGCAATGTTTTTGATCCAGGGTGTAAATATTTGCGGTGATTCACTTCAATAATTAAAATGGTTAGGCGATGGGACCGGGGTAATAATAAAGGATGTTTTGCTGAAAATGGCAAATTAGAATTTTGAATTCGGCCGCCCACCCTCAGGAAACCATCTCGGTCCAGAAAAAGCGCAAGCCTACGGAATGGTTTTGGCAATAGTTGATTTTTCTGAATTTTCTCAAGTAAATTGCCGAAGTTGTGGTTTTGGACATGTTTTACCAAGTACATTAAAGACGCGCGCAATTCTTTAGAAGTAAGAGATCCTGAATGTTTGTCAGTAGGATGACGACAATTATGTATAAAGCGAGAAGTGTATCCCAAGATTCGTTGGATGTAAGTAAGAGATGAGAAACGCTCTAACAAGCGATCTACCATATTGGTAATTACCGCACTGGAGTGAACTAAATATTTTTCTTCCTGTTGAACCTCCAGTTCCGTTTCCGCATGAGAGCATTTATCAATATCGAAGTGCCACTCGTCACGCGGAATACTCAGAAAGGGGAGGCCATTCCACCACATGTGATGATTTATCAATCGTTGTGGCATTATACCCCGTGAAGCGCAATCGGCGGGATTGCTCTCAGAAGGAATATACTTCCAAATAGAAGATGGTAATAGTATATTGAAAGACAAGTGTTACAATGCGACCTATTGTAATACGACTATCTTGTGGCACGAGTGGCATTGTAACACGCGTTTTTCATACTATTTTTTCTATTTCGGTGCTTTAATTTAATTAAAAAAATTATCAAAGTCCTCGTTTGAGATCGAAGGGACTTCAGCGCATTTTTGTGTGGCAGATCAGTATTCTATTAGCCACTTTCGATTCAACCATCAATAACAGATCTTGTCGAAGGCTACTACATTCACTAACCGCTTCCCACTTTCCTCGTGCACCCGCAATTCGCTTTTAAAGATTTGACTCCACCATCAGGAAGATCGTGTCGGGGGCTACCACATTCCCTTTGACGGTACCCACTTCCGACGTTCGGTTCACCCGCAATTCGCGTTTGAAGATTTGACTCCACCATCAGGAAGATCGTGTCGGGGGCTACCACATTTCCTTTGACGGTACCCCCTTCCGACGTCCCGTTCACCCGCAATTCGCGATTGAAGATTTGACTCCACCATCAGTGAGATCGTGTCGCGGGCTACCACATTCCTTTTACGGTACCCACTTCCGACGTCCCGTTCACACCGCAATTCGCCGTTTGAAGATTTTGACTCACCATCCTCGTTTGAGATCGAAGGGACTTCAGCGCACGTGTCGGGGGCTACCACATTTCCTTTGACGGTACTCCTTCCGACGTCCCGTTCACCCGCAATTCGCGTTTGAAGATTTGACTCCACCATCAGGAAGATCGTGTCGGGGGCTACCACATTTCCTTTGACGGTACCCCCTTCCGACGTCCCGTTCACCCGCAATTCGCGATTGAAGATTTGACTCCACCATCAGTGAGATCGTGTCGGGGCTACCACATTCCCTTTGACGGTACCCCTTCCGACGTCCCGTTCACCCGCAATTCGCGTTTGAAGATTTGACTCCACCATCAGGAAGATCGTGTCGGGGGCTACCACATTCCCTTTGACGGTACCCACTTCCGACGTCCCGTTCACCCGCAATTCGCGTTTGAAGATTTGACTCCACCATCAGGAAGATCGTGTCGGGGGCTACCACATTTCCTTTGACGGTACCCCCTTTCGACGTCCCGTTTACCCGCAATTCGTGTTTGAAGATTTGACTCCACCATCAGGAAGATCGTGTCGCGGGCTACACATTCTCTTTTACGGTACCCACTTCCGACGTCCCGTTCACTCGCAATTCGCTTCTATGGGCGACACGAGAAAGAGAGACAGCGATTCGAGATTTACGAAACGTTAAACCGCGTGAGTTCGCAACGGAAGGTAAAAGGCGCCCGAAGTTGACTACTTCTCGAAGACGCGCGCGCGCGCCTCGCAAAAGGTCGTTAATTTCGCCCCTATGACAAAAAACAAAATTCCGCCACGCAGGAGTTGTGCGCGTTTACAACATCTTTTCGACGACACCAATTTCAAAAGAATCGGACCAAAACTGTAGTAGAAGATAGGAAAAAACTGAAAAACCTTCACGTTAGTATACTACGCTCGAGGATGACGCCCAGATGTCGCCAACACCACATCATGTAGCCATGTCCCTAAGGTTGACAAATTTCACGGCCCTGTAGATACACGTACACCCGTTGCCTTTCTACAAGAGTTCTTCTACGCGCCCACATTTGCTGCCAGCCAGCCAGCCAGCCAGCCAGCCAGCCAGCAGCCAGCCAGCCAGCCAAAGTGAGATTAAAAGCTACTTTTTACAAAAAAATTTTTTTGCAAAAATGCGCTAAAATCATCATCAGAAACTATAGGGAACATTAGAACTAACATGTTTTATGTTGGGAACACTTTTTATGCCGTTAAGTTTTAAGTTGGCAGCGTAGTAAGACTGACATTTTGAAGTTCAAACATGGAAGTACCCCAAGGTTGGTATATTACAGGTTGCCTCGTAACTATCGACCAATAGCAATCGAGGCGCAAATACGTCACTGGTATCCCACGATTTAAACGAAATAATAAATACATGCAGCCATACAGCTGGAAAATTTGATGCGTACCTATTGTTTACAGTTCTTTCATTATGTTTGAATCGTTTAACTAGTGAAACACAAATATTCAGTTTTATATTTTAAAATTTAGTAATTAAAAATCGTTATATAATACAGTCAATCTTCGTCTGATGTACCAGTGTTTACCGTGAAAGATAAACAGCTTCATCTAAGAATCAATCGCGTAGTCACATTTTTCTTCTAATTCTCTTAACGTAGTTTATATCGTCTCTATCTCTACACTTGTCTTCAATTTGTAGATGAGATAGGCGGTATCAACGACACCATATGATCTTCCTGCTTCGGTCAGTTTTAAACACGTTCATCTTCTGCCGGCCCGCAAGCATTAAATAAGATGTAGGTTCATTTGACCGGTGTCTTATTTTTCCCTAAAGCATCATCATCTTTCATTCTCCGTAAATATCGTGACCGCCAATCGAAAATGTCGCTACATTCCATCAATAATTGAAATTAACATTACCTAATTTAGTTATGAGTTTTATTGATTTACCGTCACAGCAGCAGCTAGCTCTGTAGCCCTTTCCAAAGGAAATGCCCACCTACTGGCAGCTTTCTGTTTGTCAAAGAACTCCACGACCCTGTCAATAATATTTCTAGGTTCTGAATGCACATGTATTACAGGAGGTTCAATATTTATAACCTTACGCGTCTGTCACATAAGCGGTAATGACAAGATAACGAAATTTGAGTGGCTACCAGTGACGTCACTAGCAGGCGACTTGATCCCCATTATTACAGTTACGAGGCAACCTGTAATATACCAATCTTGGAAGTACCCAACGAAGTACCTACTTGTACTAACTAGTAACTGCCAACTTAAGAGATTAGTTACCAAAAAAAACGACTATAATCACTGTCTTTGTACAACTGTTTTCGGCCGAAAACAGTTGTACAAAATCATCATTGTGACACCGAAATAGAAAAAATATCTTGAATGTGGTTAACTCTATTGGCCACAAACGTTTTCGATTTATGTGGGGA